ACGGAATATGCGCGACCTCTCCCCCGTCATGACCCCCGGGCAGGACAGGGAGAGGTCGAGCATCGCTTAGTATCCTTGCTCTGACAGGAGCAGGCGTGCCGCGTTGACCCCGCAAGGACCGATGTGATAGCGATCACCTCGGTCCGGTCAGACACCATCCCTATGCCACGCCGCTCCAACAAGACAACACCGCATAGCGGTGGCAACGGGTACGAAACCCGCCGTACGAATACGGACCGACAGGACGCGCGTACGATCCCACCCACTATGGGATGGGATCCATGACAAGGCGAACGACGTCTCGTCATTTTTGTCTGACCTTCCGCCGCGCCGGCCGTCGCCCACGAGTGGGTTGGGCACACGTCGGTTTCCATCAGTTTCACAGAGACGGAGCTGCTGCTAGCATAATATGCACATGTGCCATCATTCCACTAGTGACAGTGACGATCGGTCGGTCGGTTGGGTCGTTGGGCTCGCTCGTTAGCATCTTGGCGACCGGCGACAGTTCTGTTCGGCCGGCGCACAGCTTTGTTTGAAGTTTATGTGGAATAATCGTGCCGCGCGCCCTCTCCGCTGTGAGACTTGCGGCAGTGCAGCTGTACGCAGAATGGCGCCAAATAACAATACAATGTATATGTCCCCTCAGTTTTTGGCTGAATCCGTGCTTGTCCTGCTGATGCTTCGGTAGAGTGTTGCATCTATCTTCGCCGCGGTACTGGCCTTCGTCAGCTTCAGCCACTCCTCCATCGGAGTCACACACGGCTTGCACTCAGCCATGCCGCTCCGCTCCAACAGCTTTGAGGCGTACGCGCTCTTCCCAAGCATGAGTGCCTCCTTTTCCTATCTCATCTCGATGTCGAGGTAGTAGGAGAGCGCACCGATATCGCTCATTCGAAAACGAGCCACCATCTCGCACTTGAAGCTGTTAATGTCCTCCGCACACGCATCGGTGATGATCAAGTCGTCCACATACACGTCGACGACGAGCTCCTCCTTCCTCCGTCGCTGCGTGTAGAGCGTGTGCTCAGTTGCGCACCTCGTGAACCCAAGCTCGCCCAGCGTGGCGTCAAGCTTGGCATTCCACGCTCGTGGGGCCTGCTGCAGCCCGTAGAGCGCCTTGCACAGTCGGAGCACCCTGTGCTCCGCTCCCTTGACGGCGAAACCCGGAGGTTATTTAACGAAGACCGTCTCCGCCAGCTCGCCGTTGAGGAAGGCCGATTTTACGTCCAGATGATGGACGCGCCAGTCCTTCGCTGCGGCCAAGGCTAGTACCAAACGGATAGACTCCATGCGTGTTACTGGCGCAAAGACTTCCTCGAAGTCGATGCCGTCACGCTGGACAAAGCCTCGGGCGATGAGTCGCGCCTTGTGTTTGACAATGGCGCCGTGCTCGTCCCACTTGACCTTTTACATCCACTTCAGACTGATCGGACGACATCCTGGAGGTGGATCGATGAGCTGCCAAGTCTCATTTTCCTCGATCGCCTTCATCTCCTCCAGCATCGCCCGTCGCCAATTTCCATCGCGCTCGGCCAGCGCGAACGTGGGTGGTTCCTCTACACTGACGAGAAGCAGCTCTGGATCGTTGAGCAGCCTACCTGCCAGGCCTAAGGGCCCTATGCCGCCGCCGATGTCGTCCAGTCTATGAAACCGCACTTCCTCATCCTTCGTGGAAAAGCATCCAAAAATTCAGTGATGTCACTTGGAGGTGAGGCGAACTCGATTGGCGTCGATGGAGTTCCCTGTTCCGCTGGAGTGATCAGCACAACACCTGGAGTGCTTGGCACTACTCATGGACCGCTCGTCACCACTACTAGAGTGGTCCGGACCCCTCCCAGAGTGTTCGGCACCCATCTTGTAGTGGTCGGCACCAATGCAAGACCCCTCAGTTCCGCTACGGGAGTGTTCGGCACCCGTCCTGGAGTGGTCGCCACCACTGCAGGACTTCTCGGCTCCACTCCTGGAGTGCTCGGCACCCCTCCCGGAGTGCTCGGCACCTCTTCCCCAGTGTCTCCACCACCATGGATGATCAAGTGCTCGACGATGAAAGTGCTGGTGAGGCTGCCAGCTTCCCCCGTGCTCGGACTATTCTAGTCCCAAGCCGCCTTCTCGTCGAACACGACATCGTGCGAGACAAGCACCTTGTCTCCGCGTGGGTCGTAGAGGCGGTATGCCTTGGTACCCTCTGGGTAGTCAAGGAACACCATCAGTGTGCTCCTGTCCTCCAGCTTGGTCAGGACCAGCTTCGTCTTTTTGACGTGGCCGATGCAGCCAAATGTCCAGAGGAAGGACACACTCGGCTTATGTCCATGCCAAGCCTCGAATGGTGTCTTGCCCTCATGGCCTTGGTGGGAGCGCGGTTGAGGATGAACACCGCCGTGGGCACCGCCTCACCTCAGAACCTTGCCGGCATGCCCTTGGCCTTCATCATGGATCGAGCCATGCCGACCACCGTCTGGCTCCGTCGCTCCACCATGCCATTCTGCTGTGGCGAGTACGGCGTGGTGTGGTGTCGCACCACACCCTGATCCGCGCAGTACACAGCGAACACCACCGAAGTGAATTCACCGCCACGGTCAGTTCTCAGCACGTGGAGCTTCTTGCTGCTCTCGACCTCCGCGCGCATGTTGATCTTCTTGATCGCCGCCGCCGCTTCATCCTTGCTCGTCAGGAGTTGCAGCCACATATAGCGACTGCAATCATTCACAAGCAGGAGGAAGTACCACTGACCACCGTTTGTGGCTGGCGTGATTGGGCCACAGAGGTCGCCGTGGACGAGCTCGAGAGCCTCCATCGCACGATACTTGGTCGCCTTTGGGAACGGCAGCCTTCTCTACTTCCCGGCTAGGCAGCTATCACATAGCTCGCCTCTGTGCTCTATGTGAGGCAGCCCTCGGACCATCTTCTCCAGCTGACCAAGCACGTCGAAGCTGAGATGGCCAAACCAGGCATGCCACAGGCATGGCTCCTCGGTGTGTCTTGCCACCAGGCACACCGGCTACCCCACCTTCAAGTCGAGCAGGTACAACCGGTTCTGGGACCAATTCACCTTGGCGAGAAGTCGTTGCTCCCGGTCCCTGATCCTAAGGACTCCGTCCTTGACCAGTACCTCGCTACCGTGCTCATCCAGCTGGTCAATGCTGATGATGCTTGAACGCAGCTGCGGGATGTAATATACATCCGTTAGCGTGCGGTGCTCACCGTTCTGACACCTGAAGATGATGGTGCCGCGCCCTTGGATTGCCACCCTTGAGCCGTCACCAAACTTTACCATACCGGTAACATCGTCGTCGAGCTCGGAGAAGGCTGCCTTGGAGCCCGTCATGTGGTTGCTGGCGCCAGAGTCTAGGTACCACCGATGCTCCTGCTTGCCGCCCACACATCCGAGGTGAACTTGGGTGCGTGGTTCGTCGAGGTTGACAGCCTTCAGGGTCTTCCCAGACCCTTTCACCGTCATCACCTCTCCCTTCTCCTCGGCCTCGACGCCGTGCAGTGCACATAACGTCGCTATCAGGATAGTGGCCTCACCATCATCGTCAACTTGTGCTAGATGAGCCTCAGCCTTCTTATCCTGCTTGCGATTTGGGCACTTCTTAGCCCAATGGCCCGTCTTTCTGCAGCGCCGGCAGGCGTTGGGGTCGACCTGCTTCTTTTTCTCTGAAGAAGCCTTGCCGTGGCTGGAGGAGGCTACCCCGGGGTTCCTCCGAGCAGCCCACTCCTCCTCTGTCAGCAGCAGTTTGCCGCTGTCCTTCGTTGCTGTCGCCTACTCTAGGCACTCGTCCACCGCCCGCAGACGGCCTGTCACATCTTCAATAGTGAGGGTGGACAAGTCCAGCATCGTCTCTATGGAGAGAGCGATCTGGATGTACTTTGCCGACACGGAGTGGAGGTACTTGGAGACCGCCTCCTCTTCGTCGATGGTGACGTCGTGGCTCTTCAGTTTGCTGATGAGCGTCTGCAGACGGAGGAAAAAATCCTCCACCGATTCACCATCCTTGAACTTGAGGTTGGCATACTCCTGCGTTAGAAGCTGGGCCGTCGCCTTCTTTGCGCGGTCGGAATCGACGCGCATCACCGCAATAACCTCCCACGCCTCCTTAGCAGAGCTTTTCGCCCCCAATGGCTCCCTGTACTCCACCGGTACAGCAGCGATGATAGCCTCCAACGCTGACATGTCATCTTCTTCATTGTCGGTGCCCTTGTCAACAGCATTCCAGAGCCGTCGGGCTCTGAACTTGACCTTCATGGTCACTGACCACTTTCCATAGTTGGTGCGAGTCAGCGTCGGCCAACTGGTGCCGCTGACCTTCCGCACCGTGCGAACAACGACCTCCTGTCGTGGCTGGGCAGCCATAGCAGTGCCACTGTTGTCGCCCATCTCCAAACCATCCGTCATCGCCAGCGGTTAGTCCGGCGACGACGCTTGTACGGCTCCGATACCACTTGTTGGCCCATAGGATCACCGGTTCAGGTGAATCGACCACTCACCAGTCTTGCCGATCACGACAAACGTTGTCCGACCACACACTATGGCTAGAGGTAGAAGAAGTGAGGGAGAACAGAGCATACACACACAACAGAAACACCGGCGTTGGCTGGAGCTCTGTATAGGAGATGACAAATCTGAACTCACTCTTTACTGAGTTGCAGTGACAAACTACATATACAACTCTATCCATTTAGTCATAGTACAGCTGCCATGCTGTTACAGTGACTAGATGAGACAGCAGGGCTAACTCTGGCGTATGCCCCTGCTGTGGCTACAGTACGGCAGGTGAGCCGTTCGGCGCCTGTCCCTGCCGCGGCTACAGTACCACAGCAGAGAGCATTTTTGGCACCGCCTTCTCTTACCATGTGTTCACACAAGAAAGCAGTAAATTATCTAACATCGTGTGCCCCCCTGCAATGCAAAGCAGACATGCATCATTGCATTGCTTGTGTTCTCCTCTCGTCAGAGTACGTCCTCGTGCAGGCAGACGTATGAATGAATGGTAGGCATCCTACAGACCCGAGAGAGCAACCATGTCGGTGACGCTGAGGTTCTTGTTTGCAAATGACTGGGTGAGGTTGGCGATGAAGGATGGAGCCGGCAGGTCCCGTTCTGCATTGTCCTTGCTTGCAGTGGTGGAGTCCCTTCTTCCTAGAAGAACAGTCCATGACGGCCCTCCCAGCTGCATGCAGAATTGCAGATCGAGTTCCAGTAAACCTCTATCGACCATCCTAGCTATGCACACAAGTACTAGCTATCTATCATGCATATAAAAACTTACCGCCACGACGGAGTCACAGGCAGCGACGGCGAGGATGTCAGCGCAGGAGACGGTCTGGTTGCACACGGCCTACACCTGCGTCTTGATGTTGTCGATGACACTGAAGCCTCTCAGCGAGTTCTTATTCGGGATCGCCCCCTGCTCGCCGGTGAAGCTCCCTGTGTCCGCCAGCAGAACAGATGCGTCGCAGCCCTGCAGTCACACCACACGTAGTGAAATCTGGTCACATGCATAATCCACGTACTACGTGTGACTGCAACTTTTCAAAGATCCATGCGAGAGCGAGAGTCTCGAGACTTGCATCGACGAAGCAGTCGTGGAAGTGCAGCCTGAGCAGGGACGCCCCCATGCGCTCCTCGTTGTTTACCGCGGCCGTCACCGTGCTCTTGATTGTGGCCAGAGCCTTGGGGCACGACGTGTCGTAGAACGTCGACGACAGCTGCGCGGTGGCCGCCGTGGCCAGCACCAAGATCGCGACCACCAGCAAGCTGAGGCGAGAAGCCGACTCCATCATCGATCAGACTGTGTTTGTTTTGTTTACACCTACACCTACACAGATCAAAGCAACAATATGTCTAGCTTGTCTCTCTGTATGACTAATTACCTACAGACCAAAGCGCAGCTATATATATATGGTTACAGATTTGGCGCCAATTCATCATCAGTGTAATAGTTAAGTGCAATCTATCACTCCACTCCACTGTGGCAACGAACAGCACCCATCCAAAATTGGCGCCTAACTTGTCTAGAAAAAATCGTGAGTTCTGACCAAAATTCGTGCAAAATGGGCCACGCGAGATACGATTCGATTCGATTAGTAGTTCGCAACGCACGAACGGACGAACGAACCCTAGGACGGGCCAATAGAGTCACACAGGTCCGGTTAAACTATTGCTGCCACTCCCCACCTACGCCAACTCAGCTAGAGCATTGTAGTAGAACAGTCTCTGAAAGTGTCCTCCATGGTCACCAAAGACATGCGGGCAAGTGGCATAGTAGGACTGTACGAGTAGGACAACAAGCTAGTAGTAGCCTAGTACACTGCGCTCCATATGCATCCGCACATTGCTGCGCATATAGTTGTGGGAAATGAACACATGCGTGCAGTGTGCTCATCAGCCTCTCTTATTTTTAGTGAGAGTATCTGTACTCAATAACTGGCCACTGACGTGGAGTTCAGCTAGATAAATTACAATAAGGCAACATTATTCTGTTCGGTTACTAAATTGAAACTGCAAGCACACCAATTCAGCTAGTTCATATGTCAATTCAGTTCAGGATCTTAGCAGTATATATAACAAATGCATTTGTAGCCTTGCAGGACGCCGTTTTCGTCGTAAGCTGGCCAAAAGCCTCCAAAGTCTTTCATGCTCCATGTCTTCTTGTGTGGAAATTTTGCACTAGTGGACGAGACAGGGAGAAAGGATCTATCGACGTCGATGGCACTGATTTCGCCAAGAGGCCGGTCAGCATTCGTCCAAGACACTTCCATCTTGCTCTGACCGTTGTGCAGTCATTTCACACTTGCTGAAAACGCCTTCTAGCTGCATGCTTTGGCCCCGACAAGATTAGCCCATCGATCCAGATGTTGACGAGATACTAGTCTTTTTTTTCTTCTTTTTTCTTTTTGATGAATAAGGTATCTTCAGATTTTTCCTATGTAGGGTATGGAAACTGACAGCATGAGCTGTTATTTGCCCCAATGTTAGCACACGGTTTACATGTACTTTGGCACTAATTTAGGGCATATGCAGTGTGGCGTCGAACCATGCTGTGGACGAGAAGCGAATGGAAACAGAGAGCACGTAACTTCTCCTACAACTAAAAAGACTAAAAGTAAGACTATTTTTTGTTCGACTTTTTTTTGGTTGCTTCTCCCTTCCGGCCATGCGATACCCTGCGCGATAGAAAAAGAAACTGTCATCCCTGCGATCCCCGCCTGTTTTGAAGGAAACAAATCGATCACCCAAGGCTACATGCATGGAAGAAAATAATAAGCATGCATGGAAGGAAACAATTGGCAAAGATCAAGCAAGACTCCACCCTTCCAGCCATGCGATACCCCGCGCGATAGAAAAAGAAACTGCCATCCCTGCGATCTCCGCCTGCTTTGAAGGAAACAAATCGATCACCTGAGGCCACATGCATGGAAGGAAACAATAATCATGCATGAAAGAAAACAATTGGCAAAGATCAAGCAAGACGACTCAATGAGGTTGGCCCTTAATTTTAGTGTTTCCAGCATGCAGACCTGAAATTAAAAAGTGGCTGCTCCTTGAGAATATCAGTGGTGCCAAATAAAAGATGTGCAGGTTATACATGGTGAGACTGTTGAACCTTTTGCAATTTCCTAAACGAATATTCCCACCATTCGTATATAGCTTCATTCCCCTGCGTTTCTTCATGCTCCAATTAGCATATAATATGAAAGTATTGTTGTGTTCATCACGACTTCCAGTTGACTACTCCCATTAGCATATACTTCATCTGCCCTAAAATATAAGTCGTTGTGGGATGTGTGCAGGTCAAACTTTCTCAACTTTGACTAGGTTTGTAAAAAATACGTGTAACATTTAACAATCAATTGGTCGACTCCTGAGACTAAAAAATACTTGTATTATAATTGGTCGAAGTTAAAAAAAAGTTGACTTCTCAGGAAGCGAGAATGAATTCTATTTTGGGACAGAGGGAGTATATGAAAGCAGTGTTGAAAATATTTTAACAATCAAGTTCGGCTCTGTCTGATTGGTAAGCTTAGACATCATAATGGCATCAAAAATTTCGACTCTCATGGACACCCTCATGGATCAGTGCAAAGCATCCCAATCCTACAACATACACAAATGGCAACTTTAAAGGCCATCTTAAACGTTCTGCCATTAAAGTATATATGTGCAGACACATAGGCATGGTGGTGCAAGTGAGCAGCCAGCAGGAGTCGAGAGTTATGGGGTGTTTGGATCCCAGGACTAAACTTTAGTCCCTATCACATTGAATTTTTAGATATCAATTAGGAGGACTAAACATGAGCTAATTATAAAACTAATTATATAAGTTGTGGCTAATTCGCTTGTCAGCGCTGTGTACAGGATGGTATGGAGATGTGGTGGAACTTATTCGTGGATTTGTTGGCGCACGGAAGAAATAGATATCGGAAATCTCTTCTTGCCGGTATAAAAAATGATCTTAGCCGCATCACGGAAAGATCTACACAGTAGAGTTTGAGCCTACGACGCCATGCTCTCTGTGACTGTAAATTTCATGAACTTAGCCTTTTGAATTAAATGTCACTTTAACGTCGGTCATATACTTTTACAGTATTGTTATCTTATCGTGCGATCCGTGTGTTTTTAGTACAAAAGTTTAGTTGTCCCGTAGCAACGCACGAGCACGAACCTATTTACATATATACTCGAACCTGTGTGTATATGATTATATGGAGATGCAGTGGAACTTATTCATGGATTTATTAACGCATGAAAGAAATGGATATAGTAGAATTCTTTCTGCCGATATAAAATATTATCTTAGCTGTATCCGGAAAAAATCTATACAGTAGAGTTTGTGAGCCTATGACGTCGCGCTCTCTGTGACTGTGTTAATTTCACGAACTTTGCTTTTTGAATTAAATGTCACTTTGACGTCGGTATTTAATTTAACAGTATTGTTATCTTATCGTGCGATCCATGTATTTTTAGTACAAAAGATTTAGTTGTCCCGTAGCAACGTACGAGCACGCTACGTAGTAGAATCTTACGTTACATAATGCTCTCGGCTCTCGCCGCCTCACCACACCACCCTCAAACCGCACTACGTCAAAAAGCATTTCTAGTGGCGGTTGTAGACCATTTGTAGGGGCGGTTTACCCAGCCGCCCCTACGCAAGGGTCTCTACAAATCATGCATTTGTAGAAACGGTTCTCAGGCCGTCCCTACAAATCTATTTGTAGGGGCGGCTCTTATTACCAGCCGTCCCTACAGATCAATTTGTAGGGGCGGCTGTAGTACCAGTCGCCCCTACCAACGGGTATTTGTAGGGGCAGTTCAATCTAGAACCGCCCCTACAGTACGTTTTCCCATAAAAAAAATCAAATTTTCAATTCAAAATCGCTTTGCCGAACGTCCCACAACCAACGTTACGAAAATTAACACTGAAATTGAAACTGAACTTAGCACTAAAACTGAACTGAAATGAGCACTAAAACTGAACTGAAATGGGCACTGAAAATTAACTAAAATGAGCACTGAAACTTAACTAAAATGAGCACTGACACTTAGCTGAAATGACCACTATCCAGTTTTTAGAAATTTAATAGTACTGACACAACACTACAGACACTTAGCATAGTTACTTTCAGTACCAATGCATGAATAGACTTCCTAGTGCCCTGTAATGCAGTTCAGAAAACAACACTAGGTAATGCATGAATAGACTAGTACCAATGCAGTTTCACTTCACACTAGATAATGCATAAATAGACTATTACCAACACGTCTGTGGGCTGCTGCTGCCATGCAGGAAGCCGATAGGCAAGTACTATCGGTAAGCCGATAAGCCAAGTAATTATGTAAATTACCAATAATTATGCAAATAGGTTAGCAAGGCTTTGATCAATACATCTGTAAAAACTTGTGATAGCAGTGTGGAACAGACATTGGCATCTGCTAATGACATTTCCTCTTCAATTTAGTGCTATTAATTAATCATTCTAGGTGTAGGCTAAAAACATGGAAATATATGTGATTGGTAAAAAAAATCTATGAAGCATGTTTATCCTGTCAAGGCTACACTTCTCGTTCTAGATTTTGTACCACCCTATGGCACATGTTTACTTGCCACCCTCTACAAGAAACAATGTAGCCATGTTTTTTGTGTTCCTTTTGAATGTTAATGTCATTACAAACAAATTTGCCTATAATCTATATGGCTTAAAAAACCATATCTCTTGCACATAAACATAGTTATAGAATGAAGTGTTGTTTCCAAATCTGTATGGTAAATTATAGCGCCACAGTTTTTATTTCTCTGAGGATTTAGTGTAGTTTATTATCTGGTCAAAAGTAGTTTGTCTTATAACAAATCAATGAATATTCCACTATTATTTGCTAATATTGTGTGCTATAAAGTTTTTAGAGAACATGCCTTAGCATGTATTTATTTAAGTAGAGTGGTACAACAATGACCGAGACACAAACATAGTTTGGATAGTTAAAACGACAAATATGGAAGCTACAGGTCCAAAGACTACACAACAACTACAATACATCCAAGAACAAGACTAGCCTTCCACAAAAACAGAAGACAAATTCATTAGTATAGAAGGAGCACAGTTACGTTGCCAAGATTTGAGCATGTGATTAGCTAGCATGACTTGAGCTCTAATTAAGCTCGCCTAGGACTCAACTTACGAGTGATGCCAAGTATTAAAACAAGCCAACTTTTAAGCTACAAAATAGTATACTCTCAACTAAGTAGGTAGCAGCAGATCGAGACACAAAGCTGAAAGAAAAA